GTTTAAAACAAAGGCCTGCTTCTTATTCACTGCCTGTCACCACCAGCCGGAGGGTGGGGGTCAGTCACTCAGGGACCAGGCTGGGGCGCAGCCTCCACCTCAACTGTTACCGATGACTGCCCTACTTGGGAAAACAGAGTTTCGAGGGTCTCACCGGCAATTAAATCCTCTGGTCCGAAATCGACTCAAGTCAGTTCTGCTCACAGCCTACCAGTCACGTGGCCCCATCTGACCACAAGAGAGGACGTGCCTGAGGGTGGAGAGCTGGCAATATCTGGTGAACCTCACTAAGGACCATAGTAATAGCCAACATTTACTGAGCATTAATTATGTGCCAGCACAGTTCTCACAGCACAAATTATGTTACGCTGACAACACTCCCTTGAGGTAGATGCCATGAACTCCATGCTTCGACTCAGAAAGCCATGGCACAAAGAGGGAAAGCAACCTGCTCCAGAGTCAGGTCGGGAGCGGCGCCAGGCAGGCAGATGGACTCCAGAGCCCAGGCCTTTAACCTCAAAGCCATATCACCCACAATTTTCCTCACTCTAGAAAAAAGGAGAAAAACAAGAACTTTTTCATAATGATAAACTTAAAGGATTATCCTTTATTACAAGGTGTCCCTTCTCCTTTAAAACGTTAAAATGTCCTTTCCTTTAAGAATTGATGGTTATAAGTGTTAGGAAACACTAGGAAAAAAGATTGGCAATCTTAAGGTAGCTCCTCTTCCTAATTATTTTTGTTAAGTTTAATTAACCGAAAATACAAAACTCTGTGACCACAGCGTTTTGAAGGTTTCTTTTGTTTTTGGTTTTAGTGCCTTCTTTTGATTTAACCAAATTGTGGTCATTATGTGGCAAAAAAGAGGTATTGTTCTAAGTTTTATTTGTCAAGCATTGTGCTACATGGTTTCATGGACAGCATTTCATTTAATTCCATGCCATACTCTTGCTTCCTTATAAAAAGATTAAAGCATGCATTTTCTTTTACCCTAAATACAATTGAAGCAGGAAAAATCTGGAGTGTAACAGACTCCTAAAAGATGCCTGTTACCCCTAAAAGGTAAAGCACCCCTAGTAATGAACGCAAGTTATTGTCTATAAGAGTTACTAGAGAGCAAACACAAGTCCATCAATGAGTTTCTCACTAAACTTAATCATAATACCTCTCTCTGTCAGGGATCTTTTACAAGATGTAGTTTTTCCCTCAGGCTAGAAACCAGAAGAACAACAAGCTGATTCTACCAGCTGGGCTTTGGGACTCGGCCATGGATGATTTCCTGCAAAGGACTCTAAACAGGAGCCCAGCTCATTGGCCAAGGGCCCAGGCCTTGCGTCCAACAGCCACTTAGTCAAAAGGAACATAGGGTTTAGACACAAGCAAGCTGTTCTGAGCTCCAGCGTGGTCATATTATTAGCTTTCCTTAGAAAATTTAGGTGTGCAGGAGAAACACTCGTTGTGAACAGGTGCTATAAACAGAATTTTCACAAAAATGAAGCCTTGGAAAATAAATGTTTCAAACAATATTGAACACCAAGAAGATAGCTGTTGTCTTAGTAAGATACTATAACAAATTCTCTTTACAAAAGAAGCAAGGAAGAGAGAAAGAGGGAAGGAGAGAAGAATGGAGAGGGGAATGAAGAGAGGGAGGGAAGAAGGGAGAAAAATCCTCGAAAAGGTTTATACATCTTGGTAGCATATAATAGGATATTTGAATTATAAGTCCACTATACCAAATGACCACACCTTGGCCAGCCCCTTCCCTCTTGGAAGTTGGATAGTATATCTTGTTACTGACCAAATAAGTACCAACTGTGGAAGTGACCAAGGGAGAGGCCATGTGGCTCTGTCACCACGAGGATGAAGGTTCTCCTCTCATGTTTAGACTCCAGATTCTATTTCAAAGCAGAACAATTTTTAAAAATGATGGCAGTATTAGGACCCTTAGATAGGGGAAGATTTTGTGAATATAAAAGCCATTTTAGAAAAAAGCGTAAAAAAAAAGACTCAGGAACCCATTAAGTCACAAAAATGATTTATTTCTAAACCTTATTTAGGGTACTGATTCTAACAATTTGAGGTATGCATTTGAGTCCAGTACTTACAAGTCCTTGTCCCTACTGAAAATGACCATTGAAGCTCATTTTTCATTTAATTGGGAAGCTAAGGAAACATTTTCCTAACCTTTCTATTAATGACCTTACAAATAGGCTTTAGAAGTATATTTTAATACTCTGTTGTCAATGGGTGTCTTCAAATATTTCTATTCCCTAATTAGGAAGCAGGCTCTTTTTTAAAGAGTTTGGTTAATAGTTGGAATCTAGAAGGTGCAGAGTGTATTTCACAGCCAGAACATTCCATACATTTTAGCTGATGCTTGAAGTGGTACAGCAATGAAGAGGAACCACCAAGGACCTGTAGTGACAGCCAGATGCGAAGGAGAAAAGCAAGGGCTATAGCTCACCAATGAGAGATGCCAACAGTGGAAAAGGCTTTCCTTGTTAAACCCTGGGCTGGGCAACCATTAGTCCTATAGTGGCCATATTCCTACCTTGCACATGAAATAAGAACAAGCCAGCTGTACCAGGAACATACAAAAGTCCTCTGACCAAGCAAAGAAGGGAGAGGTGCCAGGTGTCTAAAATAAACTCTTAGCCCTGGCTGGTGTAGCTCAGTGGATTGAGTGTGGGCTTCTGAACCAGAGGGTTGCTGGTTTGATTCCCAGTCAGGGCACATGCCTGGGTTGCAGGCCAGTTCCCAGCAGGGGACCCACAAGAGGCAACTATACATTGATAGTTCTCTCCTTCTCTCCTTCTTTTCCCCTCTAAAGATAAATAAATAAAATCTTTAAAAATATATTTTAAAAATAATAAAGATAAAAAACTCTTGGTGTTAAATAAGAAAAAAATATATAATTAATTTCTAAAATTTAATAATATGTACTGGCCTGAGATCAAGTCTATGAACCTCATTATAAAATGGCCCTTTTTATAGGTATTTGCTACTCTAATGCAAGATTTGCTAAAACCACACAAAATGATACACTTCAAAGGTTGAAAATAATCCACTTGAGATAACTATTAAGATAACAATCACTTGGCCTGAAACAATGAAGACTGTGTCTGTCCTCCTGGCTCACTGAAAAAGACAAGGTCAACGCACCATGAGAGAGCTCAATTGAGTGCGGGGGGGGGGGGGGGGGCGGCAGAGGAGGGCTTGGTGACTTTTGGTTCAGCAATGCCCCGCCAGGACTAGGCTCCTCAGAGCCAAGGACAGTCACTCTTGTAATCTCTGAATCAGATGGCACTCCTAATTCTCACTAAGCAAAAGAGGAACCAATAAAATGGCAAAGAGCTGTGAAAGGCTTGCTGCCTCTCATGTCGGGAGTGTGACAAGGCAGGACAACGCAAGAACAGTGCACATGTCCAATGTGAGAGTAAATCACACGGCTTTGCTCGGTCGGCTGGGGCTGTAATTCATGCCCATATTGCACAACCTCGAAGAACTTACAGAAGCTTACTGTACATCAATTTTCTCAACTATCCAACGGGAAGAATATTCAAACCTCCTTCATTGTTATACATGTATTTTGTGTGACCACCTGAAAAAAATGTTCCTCCAAAGAAAATAAAATGCATAGTACTCAGTCTTAAAAAGGAAGGAAGTTCTGATACATGCCACACATGGATGGCCCTGAGGACATTACGCTAATTCTGCTTCTAGAAGGTACCTAGCGCAGTCAGATTCATAGCTGACTGAGAGTAAAACTGTGGCTGCCAAGGGCTGGGGGGAGGGAAGAATGCAGCACTGTTGTTAATGGGTATGAAGTTCCAGTTTTATGAGATGAAAATCATTCTAGAAAGTGGTTGCACAGCAATGTGAATGTGTGAAACAGTACTGAACTGTGCACTGACAATGGGTAAGACGGCAAATTTTATATTTTTAGCACAACTAAAGATAAAAAAAAAAACAAATCAGTGAGATACATGATGAGCCTGGCCCGTAGATAAGCAGACTATGAGTACTGGCTACATGAATGAAGAAGGCTTCTACTGGAGGACAGAGGAGATCTCACTGGTGCTGACAGATCTTTAAACATTCCCAGAAACTGCTCCAGAGTGTTTGGTGCCGTGAGTAGGGAAACCACAAATTACGGGTTCCAATGAGTTACCTGCTATACCTAAGCCCCAATCCTTACACGGACCACCCAGTCCTGAGAAGCAGACGACATACACAACATCAAGGCTGTTTCACCAGAGAGGTCAGAAAGGCAGCCATTGGCCAGCAGAGTAAATCACTGCTGTGGCCCAGTGAAAGGGGTGTGCCCTGAACACACGCGTGTGTAGAGATGGGGCTCTGAGATGCAGGCCAGCAAACACAACTTTGAAGGAAAGAGCCAAATATGAAAATGTGGAGAAAATGGCATCACGAAAAACACATTCGCAGTGAAGAATCAGTGTCACCCTCGTCCCAACGCTGGCAGGATGACCACTGGGACAAGTGGTTTAACACTCAGAAGGTCAAAAGCACCCCCTGCAAAGGCCAGAGGGAGGGAGGGGAGAACCCATTACAGTTCATGTAGAAATGTTGTTACTTTCATGACATATGTTCAATATGAGGTAGCTCTTAAATTGGAGAAGAGTTCTTTCTCTAGGGCTAGAACACTGAGAATTAACTCTCTCCGAGGAGCAACAAATAAAAATTTTCTTCTTAAATTTGGAGAACAGAGGGACTTGTGAATCAGACTGAGAGAAATTACCACTGCTGGGACTCACTGCTATGTTTTCACAGAGAAAAGAACACTAAGAAAGAGTGAAGAGACAATGAGAACAAAACACACACCAGCACAAACAAAAATAGAGAACTTTATGTATCAAAGTGGAAAGCAGGACTAAGCTGGCACTGCTGGGAAATCGGAGATAAGCACCGTGAGAGTCCGTGCCCGTCTGCCAGGGGCCATTAAAGACACGTGTCTGCAAACACAACCCAACCCCACTTACCTTTCTTTTGATATCAGTGAACTGGGAAAACATTAAAGACCAATAAAAGGACAGCTCCAGGATATAATAGTAGTGAAGGTCAGCTGTGAGTGGCTGAGGATCAAAGGGAAAAAAGGAAAGATTAATAGTTAATAACAGGGAACCCTTGTTGGGTCCCAAATACCTCAAGCTCAGGGCTGAAATGTGACATGGTCTTATGCCTCCACAGCCTCTAGTCCGATCTCTTTCTGGATAAGGGGGCTTTGAAGGATGCCTCTCACGCTCAGTTTGATGGCATTAGTTTTGATTTATCTCCACCCAAAAATGTGTCTGTCAATATGAATACTTACCAATTCACTATTCCTTTTAACAATAGCATTTATAGTTCTTTGCTATACATGAGTATCTGCGAGATTCTTTAGGCAACCTGAAAAAGTATTCTAACGTGTACACAAAAAGAATGACCCTGGAACACTGCTGCTGGATTCCACAGCCCAGGGACAGGGAGGTGGGAGTCAGAGACTGGAGCATAGAATGAGTCAGTGAGGCATTGTTTCAAGTTCTGCATTAATCAGATCTTTCTTTCGGTAGATTGCAAACGTCCAAAAAAAAAAAAAGAGGCAATTCAGAAACATTTCTTAAAAGATCAGAGGGGCAAAGAATCTGCCAGGAGATACTGGGCTAGGCACTCAGCCAGGAAAATCTGAGATCAATTCACACCTCCACAGATTAGTAGGTGCTGAACTTGGGCCTTAGTTAATATATTGTAAACCGGAGGTGACACCGGCTTCATGCCTCACAGGTCCAGGAATGAGAGGCAACAGAGGTCAGTAATATTTACTTTGCACATAAATCCATAAAAACAAAACAGTGTTTTAAAAAAACATTTTTGACCAGTTGTTTTTGTTTTATGGAATTGCAATGAAATGTCTTACTTTACCTGAAGGAATCAAGGACCTTTGAAGCTCATTACACAAACGTATCCACACCACCACCCACAGGGTAACAGTGTGATATGCGGTAAATACAATGGAAACTTAAATGCTCTGTAGACCAATAGCAGCAAAACGAATGTCTTTCACGAGAAGATGGTACTCACTTAACTGCCGACCCTACCAACTTCATGCGTAGGCATCACGGAAAATAGATGTCCCACTCACTGACCTTTGGCAACAGAACACGAGAGAGGACAGGATGCTCTCCCTAGCAGCAATCCTAAACTCAGCATCACTGTGTTCATCAAACTCAGCACTACCCTGGAGAAATATATTTCCTGCTCAAGTGCTCCTTTAAAATTTGAAGGCATTAGCAATTAGAGATGGGTACTCAGAGTAGACATATGACAGCAATAAAGTCTAGAAAATAGAGTGCTGGCTTTAGGACCCTCGGAGCCAAGATTAAATTGCAGTTTTAATGAGATTCAGTTTCTCATTAGATCGCCACCTGGGAAAATGGCACGGCGGGTGATGAGCACAAGTGAGAGCACTATAGAAATTGCAGAGTTCATAACAGAGTGTCATATTAGAATAACTGCCCTATTCGTGGGGTGCTTGGCAGTTGACAAAGCTTGCCCGTGTGATAATCTTTTACTCTCATAAAAATCATATAAAATTAGTACTATCATTTTCTAAATTGTATAGTTACAGAAAACTGCTGTCAGTTAACTCGGATTGGAAGGTGATCCTGGGTCTCACAGCGAGGGAGGCACCGGGACTGTGTGCCAGGCTCCTCGCTCCCCACTGGTGCTTGTTGTGATGGGCTGTACAAGGGCCGGCAGAGGCCACGCCACCTCATTTTAAACTTAAACCAGACATGTGTATAGAAAATCATTATGTATGCAATAAAAATATAATATACATCCTCATACAGAAGGAGCAGTGCATCTTTAATAAAATTCAAATAGACCTCTACTCTTTCATCTATAAGTCTGTTCAATTATTTATTTAACATATGTGCTAAAGACAAAATAAATCTGTTTAATGAGCATGGCCCATCTTTAAAAGTGCTCTCAAGCCTTGAAACTGACTCTGAACTACCCCATAAGGTGTTATAATCACATGTACAATAATTATACGCTGTTTAATATTTTTCCCACACACACAAAAAGAAAGTCGCTAATTTTTGTTTTTATTAGTACAAGGAATATATCAAGAATGATCTCTGTTCCCATGAGAGATCATGAAGTGGTCCTAGAATTTGGGAGTTATGTGCTGAATTATCCATTAATAAGCAATGATGTCTTATTAGTAGAAGACAATCTTGATCTGAATTCCCACCTATGGTATCTTTTGTTCTATACTAATGACATTTCCTCTTTTAGATAAATGTGACTATATACACCAGACCCTCAAGTTTTTAGGTGGAATCTATAGTTCTGCCTGTGAAGTAGTCTGCAGCTCCACTTAGAGCCACTGTTCCAGTAACTAATTTTCTTGGAAATAAGCAATTTCTCAGCTCCAGCCATCAATGTGAAAGTTATTCCAGGCTATGCTGTAGTCATGAAGAAGAGTGGGTATTACACTTCAGGGGGCATTTGTCTCCACGCTGCTCACGTGACAGAATTTACCTCATAAATGCAGTGCGTTAGCGTGGCTGCCACCTCAGCATTCGAGTTAAGGTTTCTGGAAGGCTTTGATGTGTTTTATATGTGTGGATTTTTCCACTCAGTGTACCATTACAGGACACAAAGAAGGCTGTAGATGACAATATTCCAAGTACATAAGATAATAAAACAGCAGTTGGGCTTGAGAATTACAATGGTCTTCAGTAGTGACTGGGTTTCAGTGTTGCTTTAGTCTCTACGAAATGGCCCGGAATACTCAGCTCTCTCTAAACATGTCATGTTGCTTATTTATTTTATTTTCTAATCTGAATAAACTACACGAAAGGGATGGCAATGCAAAGTGGAATTCCATTACAACATGTTCCTAATCTTGAAGTTGGCCAAGGAATAGCCAATGTCAGTTCTCACCCCATCAGACACTTTGGGCGATGGGGAAGTCACAGAGCCTGACTGCTTCCTGTTGACCTTATACACCCCAAAAGACCAAACACCTCTAAAGGGAAAACCCCCCAAAACACCAAACTCAACATTACAAGTTGCTTACCATGATATATGTATCTTTATTTATTGCATCACCAAAATACCTAGTTGCATTTGTTTCTCTTACAAACATCTAGATCAATCCCAATTGATCTAGAAGTTTTTCGGCAAGAAATTTCTAGACAAGTCCGAACTTTGATATTCAAATAGTAACTGAGCTAGAGACCAGACCACACGCTAACATTACTAAATTCAAGCACGGAGGCAAAGGTACCTCAGTGGGCAGATGCACCTTCTGGGATACAATTCTAATCTCATTCTCAATGATTTTTTTTTGGGGGGGAGCGTGTATGTGTAATGGTATAAGCCCATTTTTTTTTGCGTTCAAGAAAATGGCATTTGATTTACATAGTTAGTGGCTGCTCCTAAGCCACGAAGTGAACTGAAGTCAGCACGCCGGCTCCAGCTCCACATGAGCCTTTCCCACCTGGTACTAAGACGGGCCTGAGCGGTTGTCAGACTTGCCTCAGTAATTAGAAGCAGATCAACAGTTAGAGACAAGAATCACTCCCCCCGTTGGACTGATGGCATCTTACTGTCCAGCAAATGCACCTTTCCACACTTACTCCATCTAAAGCAATTAAGCTTTGATTCTGAACTTCACTGAGAGCACTGACTCCCTCCCTCCCTAGGCTACGTGCAGCATTAAGCAACATGGGTGGGGGCAGGGGCCAAAACGCAAGGCAGCTGCCAAACCTCCTGGGACTTGCCTGAAGTCGGAAAACCCACCGAAGGAAGACACTGTATGTGTGTGGAAATCCAGATGGTAACGGCCCCTTACCTGATAGGGGTAGTTGTACCAGCAGTGTTTTGTATTCCACAGCCAGGGCGTCTGCAAAAAGGACAAAGAAACACATTTTATGTGTTTTAGAAAACAAGCAGGATAAGAGGTATTTATGACAAGTTCCCCAATATTTGGGTTCAATAATCTATCTTGTAAGAACTGATTTTAGGAATAAGATATTAAAACACTTAGGATCCCATCATATATTCTCACTGGGTAATATACACTCAACTGGTAGTATCTCAGGCTACGGCTGGGATGGGGTCCTAGCTGGTGATTTTATACTTTTTTGCAGGTCCCACAGACACAGCCCTGCTGTGGAATAGGCCCCAAAAGCAGGGCCCTCCAGGGGTCTCTCCTAGACCACATGAAAATTATAAATATAACAGTTATCAATAAACAATGCTGACAGTTGGTGCAAACCACCCTAAAATGCCTTCTATCCAATGGTTATAAGGCGACAATGTTAATCAGTTGTTTCATGCCTTAACCAGGGTCAGTAATAGGCAGGTATACTACTTGTTTCAGTTGGACACCTCAGACTAATTCTCGGTGTAAGGGAATTAACCTTCAGGGCACACTCCACTCCCTGGCCCACAGTCAAGGTCTTTTAAAGACAAAACAACCATTTTTAATTTGACAGCAATCACCTGCAACAGTGTATAATCAGAACATTGAAGTGTACACACAGATTCAAAACATTTGTAATGAACAGGGAGGAACTGGTGAAGACTTAGACTACTGAATAATCCAATAATACCAACACAGAATTTCTCATATTTTTGTGGTAAGTTTTTAATTCTTTTGCACCTCTGATCTATAGCTATCAGCACTTTGAGTATACATCTATATACCTTTGATATACATCTGTATATTTCTTATTAATAAGGAACATAATCACTAATCCAATCCATGTGTTTATGCATCTCAAAATGATAATAATGTCACTGAAAGAGTAGTGTCAGATATATTTGTACTGACCTAACCTCTTTATTTTGTCCCAGACCCTATAAGATCAAGGTTGTTGCTCTATCTGCACTGTAATAAGGCAGCTGTCTCCCTGAAATCGATATATATATCCTTTCAACCTGTACCAGTGAGGGTGAGGATGTGAAAGAGGAAGGGGCTATGAAATAAATCTGACAAATTCAGTGACTGAAAGCAGGCTCACAGGGCCATCGAATCATCAATTCCTAACTGGGCAGTCAGTTGTGACGAGTGTTCACACTGCAGCCCTAATAAAGGTTTATCTGCGCTGTAAGCAAGCCCTGTCCATTGTTCTTATTCGAAGGTGTAATGCTTTTGAAATGCCAGAGGTAACCCTCTTCTTCAGACCCCTCAGAGGTGTAACTGCCCTCGAGAGAGTCGAGCATCTGTCAGCTCTCCTGCAATTCCATCATACAGATTTCCCTGCCTTGCTTTCTCCAACCTTCATGTCATCTTCCTTACATCCCCCCCTTAATTCCAAATGTATGACAACAACTGTAAAACTGTCTTTTCCAGAGCATTTGAGACCTTGCTTTCTGGTACATCACCAATTCAGCTCAAATAAACGCTTATAAACGTTCTCTACATGTTTGGATGGTCTTACATCAACAAATATGGTAATGATGATATTACCTATTAAAAGTTGAGTCCTCCTATGTCCATATACTCTTTAAGAATTTTTTCCATGATGGTATTTATTTAACTAGTTAAAAAGTTTATCTTTGGACTGTCACACACATTTTTAAAGGATCTCATGTATGAACTTACTTTGTCCTTACTTACAGTAGCTACTAGTATTTTCCCCATCCTATAGCTAGGTAGCTTGAAGTCCTGAGTCCATAAATAACTGCCCAGGTTTGATAGCTAGGCAGTGCCAGATCTGGAAATCAAACTCAAACTGTCTGGTCTCAGACCTTGCCTCTGAAGTCTACTAAACCCTGGACCGGGACTCTGTTCAGGGAGCCAGATTGAAACAAAAGCCCTTCTATGCCCTAAACTTAAAACTGTTCAGGGATCTTTACATCCCCCTCTCAAGTAAGTACTACCAAATCTCCCTGACCCTCCCCCCCTTTTTTTTTCTGGTTTTGTTATTTGCTACCTATTCAATTCTCTACATATTATGGAATCTCACTGCACTTCACATCCTGGCAGCCTGCGTTATGTGCCTGTCACCTTATTGATGACATTGGTGTTCGTTACTGACCTATCTCAAAGGGTGCTTGTGAGGATCAAATGAGATAGCATGTCTAAAAATACTTTGGAGGCTTCAAAAGTTTAATACATCATCATCTTTACATGCCCATTGAGGAAGACATAAAAAATTAAAATTAATCTGAATTCTCATCAGTATTAACATTTTAATGTACAGTCCATTTTTGGTCTTTTTTCTATGTAATACAGATTTAAATGCATAGATAGATTTATTTTTAAACACATAGGAATTAAGAAAGATCACTAAGAGCAAAGAGCTATCATTAAAGACCAACGCTAAGATTATCCATACTCTCGTATCTCCACAATTACCATGTATGGATACAAACGTTGGAAAGGATAGAAAAAAATTCATTTAAAATACAGTGTTGGAGGAGAGTTCTACGGATACCCTGGGCCACCAGGGAGATGAGCAAGTGTGTCCCATAGCACAGTAAGCCTGAAACATCGGTGGAAGCTGCCCTACTTAAGGCACGTCATGAGAAGGCAGGGTTCTCAGGAAAGGATGATGGTGCTGGGAAATGGAAGGCAGCAGGAAAAGAGGAAGAGCAAGTACGACACGGACTGGCTCCGTTAAAGAAGCCGTGAGGTGAGTGCACAGGAGCGGAGCGGGGCTGTTGAGGGCAGGACGCGGTGGATGTCACTCATTCGCAGGGTCCATTCAACGGCACATACACACATATGTACAGTTTTTAAATTTGGGCACAACACACCAAAATCTATTTTGTAGTGTGAGTATTAGTTATTACCTTTCTCTCTGATAAAGGTGTTTATGATCTCCACGATTAGTTGAAAGCCTGAGAGGAACAGGTATGCCATAGGCATGTGTTTATTCCCCAGCAACTGCACCCAAGTTCACAGTTCAGCATTCATTTACTGAACACCAAAGAAAAGGACTGTAGTCAAATGCAAAGCCTGTAACAAACCTCGTAGTATTTTTCTGAATTTATCAGTCCCAAGCCCACGAGCATGTGTGCGCCAGCCTCTAAAGATACTGCGGGCATCCCTTCCACGGTGGCCACCCATTCCAGTCAGTCAGGAGAGGAAAGGTGTGATGCCCAGTGAGCCAGGAAAATCCATCGTTTACAGCTTCCTTTCCTCGGTAAGTTTCTTGGCTCATTGGTTTCCTTGTAACATCCAGGCTTTCCCCCGCATGCATCAGATATACACCACCTACACGTGCTTCCACTACATGCCAGTACCTGACTGCCCCGCAGAAATTGTGGGTGAGTCATTGTCCCTCACTGGGGCCCCACCCACCTGAAGCAGGAGCAAAGGCATTGGGAATTTGATGGAGCTGCTATAGGGCTCTAGCTCAACCCACGGGCTTGTTTGCCAAACATCTTACAAAGTTCTTTCACCTACAATGTGCGTTTACATACACCTCTCAGTCTGAGATCACCCTCTACGTGCACACTGCATGTTTCTAGAGTCTCATGCTGCACGCCCGGCAACACTCTCCGAGACAGGCAGGACAAATGCCGCCTTTCCTACTATACAGAGGGGAAAACAAACCCACAAGAAGGTGATTCTCATAATGTTCACTTGCTCAACAGTGGTGTAAGAATCTGGATTGGCTGCTTATAGTTTAATGCGCTAGGTATAACTTCTTTAATTTGAATTGATATCATGAAACTATCACTTTTAAATCAATTTTTCTAGGTTCCTTTTTTTAGATTTACATATTCATATCAAAACCTGTATATGCATCACACAAAGTAAAGGATAGTAACAACTAAGAACTTAAAAAGCTGAAATATTAGCCCTGGCTGGTGTAGCTCAGTGGATTGAGTGTGGGCCTGTGAACCACACGATCACAGTTCGATTCCCAGTCAGGGCACATGCCTGGGTTGCAGGTCAGTTCCCAGCGGGAGACACACGAGAGGCAACCGTACATTGATATTTTTCTCCCTCTCTCCTTTCCTTCCCTTCTAAAGATAAATAAATAAAATCTTTAAGAAAATACTTTTAAAAAAGCGGAAATATTACAGGTCAAAAAGCTAAAATATTAAAGGTAAAAAAATATTGATGATAAAAAATACACTGAAAACCCTCAGTTTAAAAGAATGAGCTTAGCCCTGGCTGGTGTGGCTCAGTGGATTGAGTGCTGGCCTGTGAACTAAAGGGTCACCAGTTCCATTCCTGGTCAGGGCACACGTCCTGGGTTGTGGGCCAGGTCCCCAGTAGTGGATACATGAGAGGCAACCACACACTGATATTTCTTTCCCTCTCTTTCTCCCTCCCTCCCCCTCCCTAAAAATAAATTTTAAAAGAATTTTTTAAATTAAAAAACAAAAGAATGGGCCTAGCAACTTCCTATATAGTAAAATAAAGCTGTGTACCCAAGACAGTGCATGGCAATTAAGCAAATTTCCTGGAAATATATGTTTTTTCATATGGCATTACGATATCAAGGAATGTTATCAAGACAAATCTAAAAACCCCAAAATTCTCAAATCTTGTCATTCCAATAGCTTAGGATTTGCTATATTTCCTCTCACACTTAAATAATGCTGTGAAGCACTTACAGATTTTAATGTATTTTATATATATTATCTCGTTTAATTATCACAACAACATTGTAAGTGCTCAAGTTAACACAGGCAACAAATGCCATAAATGACAAAGAACATGGTGGCGTGTGTCTTCTCCAAATATGGAGATGCAGGTTCTGACTCAGTACTGGCTTGGGACTAAGATTCTACATATGTAACAAGCTTCCAGGCGATGCTGATGCTGGTGGACCTTGGACCTCACTTTGAGAAGTAAGGTGTCAGGGGAAAGTAAGAAGGTGCACCGATCTTCTTGGTATTTACAGATGTAAGGCGCTTAACAGGCACTTGGTTACA